AACTCCAACTGAAGGATGAGGCGTGCTACAGTGCAATGGTACACTTGGTTGTATTAAATATTTGGTTCTTGATAAGTTGCTTTTGATAAAAGAGCCTGCTAAATGAATAAATGCATTTAAATAAATAAAGTTTTGTACTTTTTCACTACAGTTTCATTATAGCTGTCCTGTGAATACACTGATACTGCTTTAATTTAGGAAAAGTATCTGGCAACAGTTGGGGGTACAAGCCCAACCTCCAACACCAGGCGTATCCTGGTCTGCATGCTCACCACTCCACTTGCCCAGCAACTGTGCTGGAAGGGCTCTGGCCAGAAGATGGCCTTTGGGGAGATTTTGGTCTGCAAAGCAGTTATAGGTACAGTACATAATGTTTATATGTGATAAGCCCTTATAACAGGAATTAAAAATATTTTAAAAATGGGAAGGAAAAATCAGTAGTCAGGTGTAAATGAACAATGACTGATCTATCTCCATGTTTCCTGTACCCAGTAATCCTCGTTTGTTTGTCAGCAAAGGTCCAATGCACATTTAGCATAATCCTGGAGATTTTTCCATTCTAGGGCCTTTGTTACAACTACACAATGTACTGTATGTAGTTTAAACATAAATATTAAAATATTAACAAATTAATTTACTCATTCACTGTGTAATCTAAATGCTGATCCATTAGTCTAATTTTCTATACCAATAAACGGTAACATTTTATAATAACGTTCAGTTGTAAGTCATTAGTTGCAAGTGGTTAGTTAATGATACTAATTTAAAAAAACATTCATAAATGATTAGCAAGTGATGCACATTTTATGTATGTTTTGTAAATTTCGTTACAAGTCATTTATAAGTGATTAGTAAATGATTAACTAATTATTTACAAAACATGACTTTGCGTTTCATAAATGTCTATATTCAGCACTTACACTGCAGTACACACTACAGTGTTCAACACCTGTTATAGATAATGTCTAAACGCATGAATAAATCATAATCACGTAATCTACGAATGATGTGTAACACATTTACAAGTGATGAATAGTTTACACTTTAGATTAGGGGATGCAGAAAGTGTTGTGAATGATTTATTCATGCGTTTAGACATTATCTATAACAGGTGTTGAACACTGTAGTGTGTACTGCAGTGTAAGTGCTGAATATAGACAGCTGTCTTCTCTGAAACACATGGAGTCTTTAACCTGATGTGAGCAAAACATACAAAAAAATTTAACATAATTTATTAAACATTTATGAAACGCAAAGTCATGTTTTGTAAATAATTAGTTAATCATTTACTAATCACTTATAAATGACTTGTAACGAAATTTACAAAACATACATAAAATGTACATCACTTGCTAATCATACTGTGTTGAACACTGTTACTTACCTGTTGCAAATTATCTGTACGTGTATACAAGGCATTTACAACACTTTCTGCACCCTCTAATTGCTAAGTACATACAAAAAATAAAAACATTTATTAAACATTTATGAAACGCATGTTCATGTTTTGTAAATGATTAGTTAATCATTAATCAATCAATTGTAAATGACTTATAACTGAATCTACAAAACATTGAACACAATTTATTAAACATTTATGAAACGCATGATTGTTTCATAAATAATTAGGTAATCATTTACTAATCACTTGTACTAACTCACTTGTCCTGTCCGTCCTTCGGATGAGACGTTAAACCGAGGTCTTGACTCTCTGTGGTCATTAAAAATCCCAGGATGTCTTTCGAAAGAGTAGGGGTGTAACCCCGGCATCCTGGCCAAATTTGCCCAGTGGCCTCTGTCCATCATGGCCTCCTAATCATCCCCATATATATATACACTGATTGGCTTCATCACTCTGTCTCCTCTCCACCAGTAAGCTGGTGTGTGGTGAGCGTTCTGGCGCAATATGGCTGCCGTCGCATCATCCAAGTGGATGCTGCACATTGGTGGTGGTTGAGGAGATTCCCCCTTCCATGTGAAGCGCTTTGAGTGCCTAGAAAAGCGCTATATAAATGTAATGAATTATTATTATTATTATTATTATTTGTACATGACTTGTAACAGAATTTACAAAACATACATAAAATGTTAGTATATCACTTGCTAATCATTTATGAATGTTTTGTAAACGATTAGTTCATCATTAACTAACTACTTATAAATTACTTACAACTGAACGTTATTATAAGCCGCAGCTCTCTCATTGACCTATTCAGTCATTCTCTCAGTTGAGCATTTATAAATAGCAACTGGAACAATCAAAAGACATTTCCTCAATCAAAGTGCAGGTTGAAACATTTCTTAGGTTGAAATGGCTTAACAGTACTTGAACAACCCTTATTTTGTTTTTAACATTTGTATTTAAATTGATCCTTTCTCACTTAGATGCTGTGACAAAAAGCAGCCAAGCCACTGCATGTGAGGTGGAAGCCACCATAAAAACGTGGCTCCGTAATGCCAGGGACAGAGATGGGGGAAGGCAAGGAAGGGCCAGAACTGCAGCTACTGGTGCCCCTGAGGGGATTGGTTTTTAATTTACTTTGACTTGTTTTAAGTTTTCTGTGTTTCTGTTTTTGTGGTAATTGCTGTTTTCAATCTGTATTATTATTAATTATAATTATTATTGTCAGTAAATAAATAATTATTTTTTAAAAACATGACCCTCGATTTATTGCTGCTAACAAGTGCAATTGTTCTGCATATAGTAATATGTGTGCTCAAACTTTGCACCTGCACCCACAGTGTGCCCACATCCAGCCCACATGAGGGCCCGCTCTAATTTGTGTGGGCCAGCCCAAAGTCAGCCCACACTTTGGGCTGTCCCACTGGGGCCCCACCTGGGTCCCAAAGTGTGGGGCCCACAGGTGCCCCGCATTTCACGCCGGTATCTGGGCCCACAGTGGGCTGCCCACAATGGCCCCACATGGGCCCCTATAAGGGTTTGCTGTGGGCCCACAACTGGCCCCAATGGGGCCCACTCTATTTACTGTGGGCCTGCCCATAGTCAGCCCACACTTTGGGCTGTCCCACTGGGGCCCCACCTGGGTCCCAAAGTGTGGGGCCCACACGTGCCCCGCATTTCACGCCGGTATCTGGGCCCACAGTGGGCTGCCCGCAAGGGCCCCACATGGGCCCCTATAAGGGTTTGCTGTGGGCCCACAACTGGCCCCAATGGGGCCCACTCTATTTACTGTGGGCCTGCCCACAGTCAGCCCACACTTTGGGCTGTCCCACTGGGGCCCCACCTGGGTCCCAAAGTGTGGGGCCCACACGTGCCCCGCATTTCACACGGGATCTGGGCCCACAGTGGGCTGCCCACAATGGCCCCACATGGGCCCCTATAAGGGTTTGCTGTGGGCCCACAACTGGCCCCAATGGGGCCCACTCTATTTACTGTGGGCCTGCCCACAGTCAGCCCACACTTTGGGCTGTCCCACTGGGGCCCCACCTGGGTCCCAAAGTGTGGGGCCCACACGTGCCCCGCATTTCACGCCGGTATCTGGGCCCACAGTGGGCTGCCCGCAAGGGCCCCATTCGGGCCCCAAAGAAGCATGTTTGCTGGGGTTTCTCCTGTCTCAGCTCATTATCGTTAATTTGTTCACACCCACTCGCAGAGCGCGCTATTCATAAGATAATGTGTTGAGGCCATATGCAAAATAGATAAACGCCCCCAGGCAAATGCTGTAAACGCACTATATTTTTTAGTCAGATTAAGATTCGTCTTGCGCGGCTATGAGGAATAATCCTGGGACATTTACCACAGAAGGGCTGGTTTATTTTCACTTCGAGGAGGAGCAACAGATTCAGCGGAGAAGTGTAAGTGTTTTATGCTTGTGCTTTGTTCTAATCGCGATATAGAATAACGTTAGTGTCTGTAAACGGACAAATAGCATGTCCTACTGTTTAAATGTGAATTATGTTTCTCTCTCTCTCTCTCTCTCTGTGTGTGTGTGTGTGTGTGTGTGTGTGTGTGTGTGTGTGTGTGTGTGTGTGTGTGTGTGTGTGTGTGTGTGTGAATGAATGAACGCACAGATACGCACTGTTACAGACGAAATAAAAGAACATTTCTTTGACTAGTTTTGGATAAAGTTTTTCAAATCAAATAAGCATCAAATAAGCTTCAAAATAAAGACATCAAATAAGCTTATGTTTTGTCAATAAACTAATCAACTAAGATGTTTGTTCCAATGCAAGCTATATCAAAATAATGAATCCTCAACTTTGAAATATGATCAAACTAAGACATTTATGGAAAAAGACTATTTTATTTTCAAGATGTTTCCAACTCTAACTTTGAACTGAAATAAAACCATGTCTATATGGTGAAGGGTGTGTGATAGAAGTGTCCAGACGTATGCACCCTGTATTTTAAAGAAGAACATTTAATTATTTGCAATACATTATTCATTCACAAAGAATTCAAGGACATTATTCATGTCCCTAAAGGTTGGAGTTTTCCTCATTTTTTTAATTATAAGGCATTAAGATTTTTTATTCCTCTTTTTAGTCAACTTTAGCATGGTGTGTTCACTTATTCTAAGCAGTGTGTGTGTGTGTGTGTGTGTGTTGTAAATAAATCCAAACAATCTAAAAGCCATTCTTTTTTAAATCTCCTCATTCTTTGTGCAAGGCTCCTGTAATGATATGGCCTGATAGCACCTAATAGGGCCATTATGGGAGGGTCTTTGTCTTTCTCAGGTGTGGAATGCCACACATATTAATGAGAGATCACGCCTCCTGCATAAAGCTTTCTCAAACAAAACACGTCATTAAAAATGTAAAAGACTTTATTGACTTATCTGAATGAGCAGTCAGGATGATTCTCACATAGTTTTGGAGCAAATATTCTAGGCTATGTGATACAATTTTCAAAAGTCTTGTGAAGAAATAATCAATATGTGTTTTGTGGTCTTATTTCAGCAACTTTCATTTTTATTTTTTTCAATAACCACGCATAAACATTATTCTATTAAAAATACAAACATGTACATACATGTTGCTCAGATATCATGGTAGTCCCGTCTGTGCTATATAGAGTGAATTTACACCTTTGCCATTAACATGTTTATAAATAACTGAAAAAAGCACAAATGTCAGTGCATGTCAAAACATCCCAAGGGCCCCAAAAACACTCTGGTCCCCAGAGGGTTAAGGTACCTACGTTGCAGTATATAAGTCTTTTCCATTAATGGCTCTGCTCTTTCTGCCCCATCAAAGCCATCCTCTGAAAACATGCGGTGAAGGCGCATTTTCATCTCGCCCAATGTTGTCTCGGTCTCGCCACTGCGTAGATCTGTAGGAGCCCATCTCACGCATCCATACTGATCTACTGGGCCTCTTGCCGTTGCCCCTGCTCCACTGCAGGCCCTCCTCTCCCTCCGTCGTCGTGCAAGAGTGTTATTTCTATTTTTGTACTCAACCCTTGTTTTAATTTGTTGAAGGAGGGACTGGCAGCCATCTCCAATGATATCTCCTGTTTTGCCTACATCTACTAAACATTTAGGAAACTCTCTGATGCCCCGAACTATAGTGTGGCATGTTGCTCTATTAGGATTAGGATCTTGTTCTAAGATCTGATCTACCACTGCCTGTACTATATTTTTTCTGTCTACTGGGAGCGGTCTTGACTGATTTAACAAACATTTTTGAAGAGATGAAGGCATCCGTTCCCAATTTACTCTGAAATCCACATGCCATGGCCTTCCAAGATGTGGTGCAAAGCTTTCAGTGCATGAGGAGTGTGAGGATGGACTGCATGTGCTTCCCAAAGGGCTCTGAGATGAAGAGGGAGAGGGGACAGCCTCTAAATTTAACTGAATTGCTGGAAGTCCTAAAAAAAAACAAAAAAATATTAAATTCTGAAGTAATCATATAGTTACGTTTATAAACCCTCAACGTTGTCTGCTTGTTTGTCAATTGTGATTGTATCCATAGCACCCTGCCGTGTAGATTTACCTTCATTTTTAAAGGCAGCAATTTTCTGCACTGTATTGGACGCAAGTATTTTTCAATGTCTTTTTCTTCGACCAACATAAGGTCTTCGTTGTTTTCGACTCCCAGCTCCTCCAGAACTTCCAACAAATGTGTCAGTGTGTCATCTGAGAGGCTTGGTAAAATTGAGGTCACCAAATCCTTAATGCCTTGATTCATTTTCTGAAAGAGAAAAGGTACAATTTTCTTTTTAGTTCAAATGAATCTGTAACACATTGCTTAATAAACCTCTGGAAAAGCATGATGTAGAGCAATTAGTAGCAAGTCAAACATCTCATAAGTTGGAAGAGGATAGTAGTCAAGCATATAATCATCTTGAGCTACTCCTAATTCACAATAGACACCAATGTCTCTCAACTTAGCAAAGGTATGTTTCTCTGTAACAAAGTACACAGACTCATGTGCGACAACCACTAGAATAATCCTTCCAGCATAAAGTTCATAATCATGCTTTTCAAGCAAAACAAACATCCCCTTTCTGTACAATGTGCCTTTCACTGTGATTTCATTACATGCCACTGTAGACTGTGAATCAAAATTGTAACTGGCCACTGCCTCTCTAATCCTGTCACTGTAATCATCAACATAGAATTCTACACCCTTCTGTATCTGTACAACAGGAGGGAACATGCTGCCTGCACCTAGGTAAGCTTGCAGAAGTTGGTGTCTCTCTGCAAGAGTTTTGCAATGATTTTCACTTATTAAAATAGCTGTGCTTGCTTTCGAATCTCAAAGTCCAGAGGCGAATTAGTGGCCCAAAGTGGTGTATAAGGTCAGGGTAATGACACATGTAATGATGCTTAGGTCGCAAGGGATTATCAGGGAAGAGCTTTTGCCTGGTGCAAATGTATTCTTAGATTAAAACTTTGAGATATGCAACCTGCCCTGTTGTTACAGCTGGTGCACAGACAAGCTCCACTATCTCTCTCAGTTGCAAAATCAGTAGCCATACCTCATTTCTACATGGATCTTTAATCCTGTCACCAATCAAGATAGGTAGAATCCTAAGAAAACATCAATTCTGAACCGCATGTCCACTTAACCGCTCACTTCCGGGGGAGAGTTCGCCTGGTTTGTCATTTGCATCATTTCCTTTGTATTTGAACTGATTTTTGCATCGATTCAATTGCAAGTATGTAAAATGCTTCTCCTCAACTAAACGACCAACAACCAACAAACAAAGCAAGGTCATAAGAAACAACACCCTCAAATAGATCGTGCCCTAGACATGGTGGGAGCCCAGGCTGACAAACATGGAAATGTGCAAGCTCGTTAAAAGGAGAGTCCCCCTTGATACCAAATACAGAGCCAACAACAGCACAGTCTAAATCTTGGACATAGCTTTTATATGACTGCACAGTTCTCGCAGTACCACACAGGTTTGGCTCATTCACAAATGCGGTTTTATTTATCTCACAATATCGGCAGAAATAATCTGCACGACTGAAGTTTTACACAAAAAAAAAACTATGCAATGGGATCCCAAATTATCTCCTGAAATGGCAACAAGAGTCCATTTCACAATTTTACCATTGGGCATTGAAATACCAGGTTCCTCTAGAAATTTAAGATCCTTGATCAATGGCTCAAAAACAATGGCTCAATATTTGAAGTCGTGTTCCCTACAAAGAAGCACAAGTTGCATGTGATCTGTACTGGATCTATTGTGTGGCAAAATATCAGTCAGAGTACAGTACACTGCTAAAACCTTATGTTTTTTCTTCCCTGAACCAAGAGGGTTTACAACCTCAAAGGCATCCTGATATAAAATGAATGAGGCCAAGAGAATCAGAATCTGTCTTCATTAAAATATTACTCTTAAATCCCTCACCATTCTTAACATCACGTAAAACGTTTCCAGGAGTAGGTGGTTGAGAATGTGTGTACGCATGCTGTTCTTGCACAGATCTGCTTTTAAACAGTGCAGCCAATGTTTCCTTTATAGGTATATACTGGGCAAAACACTCTTTGCCATTTTCATCATTGCCTAAAAATAATGGCACAGGCTCCACAGAGTCAAAATGACTTTTAAAAAATGACTTTCTTTTTTGGTCTGTATTTAACAGCTCCCTGTTATAAAACCTCAGACGCTAACCCTAACCCTAACCTAATTTCAAATTTCTGTACCTGTTAGATCTACCCGAAAAACTCCAAAAACACTGTTTATTTCATTTGTAGCCTTTCTTTGTTCTATTGTATTTATTTCTGCTATGTGTAATTTGATTATTTGTTCTTACTTTATTACTGACTGCTTGTCTTTAATAATATTTTAAATTCACATTAATTAGGCTGGTAGTTTTTGTAGTATCAAAATTGGAAAAAAGAATTGATATTTCACTGGTGTCTAAACATTTGTACCACTAACCCAATCCTCAGCACTGAGCCCTTCTGGAGCTGCTCTAAATATGTGATGTGCTATTAAATGAAAGATAAAATATGACAAAGCAATAGAATGAACAGTAAAAGTAACAGAAGCTCATACAATGCATTTTAGCAGGCTTAATTAAAGGCACACTATGCAAGAATTGTGTTTTTGTGAAACAGCGACCCGCTGTTCGCTGTGGTGTACTTGCACTGTCGTAAATAGCCGTAACCCCCCACGCGCCACAAGCGCCACACGCCCCACACCCCTGGAAAGAAGCGTCGGACATGCAACAGGCACAGATAGACTCCGAAGATATTGACCAGGTAATGTTTCACGATTTCATACAAATATTATGCTACTGCATAATCTACTGAAATACTGATGATGGTAATAGGATAATAATAACTATATGTCAAGTGTTAGACTACTTTATAATAATAAAGTTTCCTATCGCGTTAGCTGGCTTATAACGTTTTTACATGATTGTTGCTAAATCACAAGTAAATAGCCTATAGTCTACGACTACTGTATAATTTCATTTGTGTTTTTTGATTGTAATGTAAACATTACAAAATAAGTTAAATGTACGTTGCATTATTTCATAACATTGGCCGTTATGATGTCATTAGACATGATTATTGCAATTTATCATAATAGTTTGCAAATTGTGCTCGTTTACACTATTTACAACATCTAGGCTTATATATGTCCTGATAATTATGAGAGATATTGACAACTGTTCTCATGAGGAATCAACGTCAACAGCGTCGTCTGATATCCCTCAGGCGATTGGGGCCATATCAAAGAAAAAGAAACCTAGGCGGAGGAGACCATCGAAAGGGGGGAAGGCCACAAAAACTATAGACCCTGAGGAGCAGTCGAGGCTGCAGGAGCTGCGGTCAAGACGTGCAGCTGAAATGAAGGTTTGTTTATTATTGGTCAAGACGTCATTTTAGATATTTTCAGCCTTTCCACTAATATTATACTAACCAATTGTTTTGCGTTGTAGGTAAAACTGCATTCCCTGGAGTCTGTGCAGAAGTACAGGCTGTTGAATACAATCCTCACAAGGTTGCCAGGTCTTATGTTTGATGTGATGGCCATGTTTGAAGTATCCCAGAGCCCTGACCCTGTTGGAGATGTCCTGCATTGGTGCACTTGCACCAATTGCAGAGAAATGGACACAGACCTGGAAAGGCTTTGCTGTCACCAGATACCTACAAATTGCATAAGCAACATGGCACACATGGAGTTCTATGTGTTGGATGAGGGGGTCTTGCGGCTGGCCCGTGCGGCCTGGAATTACATTTTTGCTGTTGATGACACCCAGGAGCCGGGTGTAGAACAGCGTCAATATAGACATGCCGTCTACAGACAGTTTTTGCTGTGGCAGCATGGCCGCCTGGGTGTGGGCAACAGAGTGGTGATCCCCAGCTGTTGTGTCTGGAAGATACGGATCAAATTTCCTGACCCAAGAGGCCGATATACAGGATTCCGGGTGCACCGCCTTCAATAGTTTTTTTTTTTAATTAGCCTTTGTAATTAGTTATACAGCTATTTCTAAACAGCATCTTATGGAAGAAACTAGGGATGCACGATGATATCGGGACAACATCGGTATCGGCCGATAAAAGCTTAAAATGACCATCATCGGCATCGGCCGATATGAATATTTCTGCCGATGAGTCTTGCCGATAGGGTGGCGTGTTTCCTATGCGCACGTGACGGCCGTGAACGAAGCATGAGCGCCAGCAACTTAAACTTCCAACTAGGGCTGTGCGTCTCACGGTTTTTGATCGTGGACGATTAAAATGTCTCCACGATCTGCTTTTGAAGAAAAATCATAGTATCGTGCATTCTATCAGTTCAATTCTGGCGCCTTCATTTCAACATACTGTACAACGCGACGTACATTCACATCACATCAAATGTAAACGCAGAGGTAGAGTTACACTCACGGGACACCGCAATTCACAAAAGTTCATTGTTTGCATGTGCGTCAAAGTCTTGCTAATGCTAGGTAAACATGTCATTCACGTGCTGATGCGCTGTTCTAACATCCGCTTTTCTGAGCGCGTTACACCCGACGCTCACAGGAACTAAAAGCCTGTCACACAGCGCCTGCATACTGGACTAATCTTTCGAGTCTTATTGCGCTGATACTGTCAAATACACACAAGGTTTACATAAACAAAGTTGGTTATGTCTAAAGTGAAAGCAAACAGAGAAAATCTGCTTGTCAAATGCGTGTATATTAGACGCGTCGCGTCACTCGCGTGCTGTTCTTAAAGAGACAGTAATAATATTCTGCCGCTTGTCTTTAAAGAGATACTGCACCCAGAAATAAAAATTCTGTCTATCTAATGTTGTTTCAAACCTGGATTCATTTCTTTCTTGTGCTTAAATATACTATGGAAGTCACTGGAGTACAGCAACTGTTTGGTTAGCCACATTCTTCCAAATAACTTTTATAATTTCAACAGAAGAAAGAAACTTGAGAGAGTAAATGATGACAATTTAAATTTTTGGGAGAACTATCCCGTTAATGTTAATAAAACAACAAAACACAGAGGAAATCACTCACTGCTCTTGACTGAGAACATTAATAGAAGCTTTAATAAGCTTTTTTTGCACTTAAAAAAACAAACAAATATATCGGTATCGGCATCGGGCAAAATTAGTTTGAAAATATCGGCATATCGAATATCGGCCAAAATCCTATATCGTGCATCCCTAGAAGAAACATTTGTGAATGTGAATTGTATGTTTTGTTCCCTGTTACCTCTGCAATTGTGCACTTCACTTCTATTTATTTTAGTTTAACTTATTTTTTGTTTGCATGTAAATAAAGACATTTTCCAAAATGTTCAATATTATACATCATTTATTACAACTATTTACAAGGACCAGATTACAGTACAACAGTCACTGTGGAGGAATGTCTCCTCTTTCAATATGAGCCTGCACTAGTTCTGCAGTGGGTGGTGGCAGTACAGCAGCAAGCAAACCCCAGCGCCTTGGGTCATCGGACCTGAGCGTCTGTTTGCGGGGAAGGCCTCTCCCACTTGCAATTCTTCTCCCAAGAATGGACTATTTATTGTATTATTCTATTATTGTAATCTAATGCGGCAAGCAAAACTCGCGTCCTGTATAGAGGTGGGCTGTAGGCGAAGCGCTTTGCCGCATACATCAGTATATGATTTTGGAAGCTTTCCAAATCAGAAGTGGTCCTGGCGGGGAGGGAGGAGGCACACAATAGTAACACTTCTTACCACAATGGCATAAAGGTAAAATCTGTTCAACCATCACTTCCAGCCTTCACTCAACAAACAATTACAAAAATGTGCAACAGACACATCTACCAAGACTGTGAATGAAGTAGAATATGGCTATGTATAAGTGTAGTTTCAGTATGTACATTTGTAAATAAATACAATATCTACTTTAGTGCATGTGTAATTGCATGACAGTTGATGCATACCTGAAGTTGATGAACTTCTTCACCTGGCTCAACCAGCGCTTGTCAAGCACGATTGCTGTAAGTGCCTGATGAGCTGCTGAACCTGTAATCACATATCAGAGTGAGTAAAAATCACAATCTCAGAGCAAATGAAAATCAAGTGACTACAATCGTTCAAACCTTGATGGATCCATGGCTTGTTTTGGCTGCCTTCATCCAGAGGCTCATGTTCACAGCATCCAGTTGCCCATGAATGTTGATTGCAGACATGGTGTAGGACTCCATGCCACATCATCTGCAGAAATGGACCACCACACATTACATACAGCTAGAAACTTCACCCTTCTGCATGCCAAAAGTAATATTTTTTACAGCGACATCACAAATACTTATAAAATAAAATACCTTGAACTGCTCCTCGGTCAATGCTGGTTTGCAGCAATACCAAAAGTGATTAACGATGTCCTTCATCCAGGCTAGAATTGAATTCTGATTTTTTATTGTGCCAGCCTGATTGCACGATGCAAAGGAAACAAAGCCACGGTTAATATATTGCTGCAAAATATTACATTACCAAGGCAGTAGGGCAAGTCAAAATATGCAATCTTCAGCCTTCAGGGCATAGATTAGTCGTAGAATACAGAATAAATTTGGATGATTGCATACCCGTCGTAACTTCTTTCCAAGATTTTTGGCAGCATGCCATATGTCCAGAGAGTGGTGAATATTTTTGTAGCGCCCACGCTCTGGATCTGTAACAAATAACACAGCATTTGTAATGGCACAATTATCAGTAGAAAAGAAAAAGCAATGGCTCTAGACAACACATCCAATAAGTTATCCTTACTAAGCAAGGCGGAGATTTGTGGGTGGGCATCCGTGACAACTTCTCGGACAGGAATTTCCTGGATTAGTGCGTCCATGTAGCCTGGGCAACTCTCGGCAAATTTAGATTTGCTCTGAAAGTTAGTCTGGCAAAGAGCTCATTCAAGCTCATTTCCAATCCGCCGAAATAGAGGCACCAATCAGAAATGTTGGGGCGGGCTTTACACGATGACGACAGCGCTGGGATTTTGAAGCAGATTTTGTAGCCTACATTACAAAGATGGATGCCGCCGTCGAACATCACTCGTTCGAATCAGCTATCGCGTCTGTTTTAAGCGATTTGAACTTTTCCTTTTTGTTAAAAACCGAGCAAAGAACAACACTCGGCGATGTTTCTGCCGCTCTGTATACGCCATCTCCTTCATCGCTCTGATTGGTTTTAGGTCTATCCGCGACGTCCGTTGGTGACGCCCCTCTGGAAATGATTTGTCTATGACGCTTTGCCAGACCATAACTCAGTTACAGCTGAGAATGGTCTGGTTTTAACCAGGCTAGCGTCCATGGTCCTGATGTAACACTCCTTCTCCATAATCACGGAATTCCTGTTCGTTTCACGCTTGTCTACGGTGACAATGTGCACAATGTCTCTTGACTCTTGCTCAAGAGTTGTGTAAGTGCAGTATTGTGCATAGTGTCCTAGTAAAAAGTTTTTAAAAAATCTGCTGTCAGCATGTGGGCTGTATGTATAATTTGATCACAAACACACAGTACCTGGAGAGTCCATTCTGCCATCACCTAGTGAATAGAGCAAAAATACATCCATTAGAATCACAGTTTCTACACCATCACAGCTAAATACAAACATAAAATGGTGGTTAACAACTATGCAACACCTTACCTAGGACAACGACATGTTCTTCATGACAAAACCGGTCTACAATGACCGCCCTATTTTTTTCCCAACATTCCTGGACCGGAGCAATGCAATAAGCATCTTCAATTCGGAAGAAAGTCCCCTCAGCAACCATTGGCATTTTCATAAATTGAAAGAGGAGGGCAATCTTCCTGTAGTTGTTGCCAGAAAGAAGAGTATTTGTAGCCAGCATGAAGTCACCCACCTGCATGCCGTACTTCAAAACTGGCTGCGAGTTCCATTTCCACAGAATCTGTCCAATAGCTGAGCTGTATGTAAATGTTTTCACAACTATACTGGTTAAAACTAGTTTACTCAGTCTCCAACCCTACATGCATTTACATCTTATCTTACCCATTCCAAAATGACTCTAGTCCCCCGAGGTTTCAGGCTCACCCGAAATGGCGGTTCACCACGGCATGCTACACCGGAAACATTGTCTAGATTGTTGCACTTCTGTAGTGGCAGCATCAAGTACATGGCGAGCTGATGGAGGTTGTTGTTGTAGGTGATGTTGGCACTTTTCCCCACCAGATCTTCCTCACAGAAAACTCGTTCTTGTTCAGGAATGTATTGTGATTCCAGTTCAGGAGGATTGGGTGTGGCTACATCAAGCACAGCTTCATCTAAGCTTATTTCAGCAAGATTGTTTGTGTTGACACTACCAGTTCTGTGTATAGAAGCAGAGTATATGGACATTGATTACCTTCTCAACACAAACCAGAAGGTAGAAATGATGTGACAATGAAAGAAGTGTATAGTTGTGAGAGTGAACACAGCACTACGTGAAATGTACCGTAGCTGAAGAAAAGGAACAAAATCCTCATCCGAGCTGTCCTCATCCTTCCAGTCCTTGTGAGAAGGATCAACCCAACAATCATCCATTTCAATGCTGTACAAGAGGTACACAGATGAACATCAGACTGGAGGGATATATCAGTGGAAGGCAAATAATAACCAGTACAGCACAATACTTACAAGCTGTTCCTCAAGTCATTGGCATCCCCCTCATCTGGAGAGTCATGTTCTTCCGCAATGCTCAGAGAATGCATGCTGCAATCAGTCAAAGTAACTTATATATGTGTGTGTGTGTGTGTGTGTGTGTGTGTGTGTGTGTGTGTGTGTGTGTGTGTGTGTGTGTGTGCGTGTGTGTGTATGTGTGTGTATATATGTATATAAATATATAATTGAGAAAACAACCTCACCTGCATTCCAAACCATCATCCTCTTCTGTCTCTGTGACCAATGGCTGGAAACCAGGTACAGGGAAATCTTCATCCCTAATTGAAAAGATAAGTCATTAGTTTACAATGTGCTATGTCTTCCTGGATTATTAGGATTTAGCAGAAAAACATACCAATCACAGTCTGACTCAGTTATACTGGACACAGGTGGCTTTGGTGGTCTTTTGTGACCCTTGCTGGGTGTAGACATAACTACCTTATCCTGGTAACTAGAATACAAGGGCATGATCAGTATGTTCTCAGCAACAGAAGTAGTACTGAACAAGGTTAATCAGGGTGAAACTAGGTATGAATTTCTGGGTTCCATAACTCGCCAAGATTTCATTTTAGAGTTACAGTCGGGAAGTGCACTGTTAGTCAGCTAAAGTTTGTATAAGCACAGTACACACGCCATAAGAAATCGGAACCAGACACAGGACTAACGTTACGTGATAAATACACCTCACAACACCTGAGTTCAGCAGGCAAACTAGCTCGTGTGGCAAGCTAGGCAATAAAACATAACGAAAAAAAACGTAAGAGAAACAAGTGTTTGTTAGCAAGTCTGCTAACAACTCTGGTAATCGAAAGCTAGCTAGACATATGTGGCAATTGTTGAGCTGGTCTAATTATCAACAATGGATAAATGAACAGCATCGTAAAAAAATGACATACTACAAGCAAGCGCAACAACATACAATATAGAACGCAAACAAGTTTACAAATAAGAGATTTACTTACAAGTCCATCAACAAGATCGCCAGGTCAGCATCGCTGTTGCATCCAGTGCTGCTTTTTAACTCGCGCCAACGAGAGAAAGCCCGGCCGAGTGGGACTTTTGTCCGGTTTCTAACACGGTCCGATTCTCTTTTCCTTTTTCTAGACTCTTCCGACCGAGTTTTCTTTGATTTCTCCATCGTCAAAGTATCACATCTGAAATGCGCGCAAGTGTCTTCGTGCTTCATATGTTGTTGTTGATGTGTGTGACGTCGTTGCCGTAAAGCATGTCGTGATTCTCGCGAGATTTGTCGGGGGCGCTCCTCTCAAACTTGCATTGCTGGATCAGACTCGTTCTGGAAATAGTAGTATGGATGATTCCCTGTCAGCTGGTATTATTAAATGTTAAAAATAACTCAAATTGAATATAATGCAGTTTGTATTATAATATTTATATAATATTTTTATTATAACAACTTTATAATATTTTAATGATATAAGTAAAATTACAATAAATAAGTAATAGTGCACATATTTAGCAAAATACTCAATTATACTAATACTAAATATATTATAAAATACGAATTTTTCTAGCCAACTAGCGTGCTATGGTCATTAAATGTTTTTTTTTCCTGAGGTAAATGTAACGTTATGTGACATACTGTTCTCCAGCTGATTTATTGACCTCTTTCCGCGGTTGAAAAACACTGATTTATCGAGGCATATACATTTCGGTAAGTTGTACTGTATCTTTTAAAGGAGTCATAATGTAGTATTAACTTTGATACCCACGCTCTATTATAGTCATTTCATGCCCTTCTAAAAAAGAAAAATTGGAAAAAAATAAACACAGAGCTCGTTTGACCCTTATTTCTGAATGCATTATTGTCTCGCGAGATCTGATGCGAGGTTTTGGCTGTCGTGGACGGTCATTTTAATAATGCAAATGAGGGGCGCGTTGATTGGTGGTAGGAAGGAGGGGGCTTGACACCGCAGGTAACTTCAGCATATCATTCCAAAAAGAGATCATGGCGCAAGTTGTTAATGAACCCGACCTGGCCGCGACCTACGGGATTCAACCGTATATGTTTGAGCCAGACTCTGAACCAGAGCTGGAAACGGAAGAGGAACAACAGTCAATTGAAGGACGTCTACATCAACATGTCTCTGAATGGTAAAGACAATTTTTTTGACTGAGACATACATTAACATCAGTAACGAGCTAAAACGTTTTTTTGCTATTTTCTCCCACATAAGTTTAGCTTTAATTTAATGTAGATTACATTAACGGAGATGTAGTCTACTTTATTTTCAGCTTACAGTGGTTATAGAGATTAACGTTTGCTATAATGTGTTGTTTTTGCCTTTTTTGACGTTGTGGTTTTTTAGATATTTAATCATTTTCATCTGCAGACATGTAACGTTATGTTTTTCTTTATGTTTATTAATTCTTGACTGTTTTTTAAATGTATCTATCCTTATCACATACATTAACCGCATTAGTAGTTAGCTGCTGTTTGTTACACAAAATATAGTAATAAAAACACAGTCTTACCGTTTCAAATTCAGGCAAGTCCCTGATTGTTGGAATGGCACCTTTTTCCAAACGTAGCTTCGATGCCAACTTCGCCTGATATTGCCCCAAATTTGTAAAAGATTCTTTTGTGAAATGTTTAGCGCAGACACCTAACGTTGAGCAAGTTGAGATGGTTGTTGGAACAGCGTCATTAAAAATAAATTTCATCCTCTTGTCCCTTGTAGTTTGGTCAGTTTTGGGTAAAGAAAAAACATTAGAATGTGGATTATGACAGTCAACCACAGAGCAACTCACGTGTACACTACGTTCTTGCATCTTTCTTGACTGAATATGATGGGGAGAGGGGCAGGGCGGGCCTCCTCTGCGGTGTCCATATATGGTATATCCGGCCCCGTCTTGACGTCATGTCGGGGGAGAAATTGAAATCTCGTATTTGAGTGCGCGTGCACGTTGGCTAGTTTAAGAACCCTGGGGTAAACAAACGCTTCACTTTTGAATATCGGCATCCCGGCAAATGTATAATCGTTAGTCAATCATAACATACATTGATTCTCATGGAAAAGTGAAAATTGCACATTATGACTCCTTTAACATAGGCTACCTATTATTGTTCATTTGTGTTTATTTAACTAGTAGTAAAGAGAGATAATCGGTTCACGTGCCGCCAGGCACTACAGCGTTCTGTCACGTCACATTTAAAAGCGCAAAAACGGTATTTATTGTTTGAATTTCGTAATAAAATTGACAGAATCTGAGAGCTGAGAATTTGTTTCATATCAAAAGAACCCAAATCAAGATCAGAAGAACATGGGTTAAACAGCTTCATTCAAGCCATCTACTATCCAACTACTCTCGTCTCAATTTTCTTTCTCTTACTTAAGTTTTCTTTTCCGTTGAGAGTCTCGGTTCTAAGTTAAGTTTTGCTGCCAAGTTTCGGTTAAACGATTCGACTGCAAAGCCAGCGAGATATATAGCTGCAGACCCTCACCCACGGAAAATACCGAGCACCCACGTGTGCCAGACTGCCAGTAGGCTACATTCATTTAAAATTAAACATTGCAGTTTGTGCTATGTGAAGCGTCTGTGGCACTGTGATTGGTTATGTCGCTGTCAGTCGCATGCTCCATATCCTATCCACCAATCACAGCGTTTCTCGGATGAAAACGCCTCTGATCGTGGTTACGTTTCAGTTAAACTTTTGATCTCCAATCCTGTCTGTATTTGTGAGAAGTGCCGCTGTCCTGAGTTGAAAGATAGCATACTTTACGGCTTTATTATTAAGTTAATAGGTGTGTGCGTTCGTGTCGGCCGCTGTCCATTTCCTAAAAGGGGTTGCACACCGGACGAGAAGCGCAGCGCCGCGTCGCGCAGTGCCATGTCTTTTAAAATTCGAACACATTATTCTCTATGAGTGTAACTTACACACACCGGCGGCACCATTCGGCGTCTGTCCACGGCCCCCAGCTACGGCTTAGGACCTTGTTCAAAATCCTGCCGTGCCACAGAGCGCGATTTACATATTTTTATATTGAATTTACATTTATTTGTCTCAAATCGTCGTTAATGTATATACTGACTTCAACCCGTGCTGCAATATACATTTAGTTTTACAATCATTTACAGAAATCAGCTGCTTGAATAAAAATTGCTGATGTTATCGGATTTTCAGGTGATATTCTCTTTAACGCTCTGAGTTAAAGTGTTCAGACTGCAGACTTCACAACGGTTGTATTTAATTGTACAGTACAATCATAACATAGTAGAAACATTATCTTAAT